GACGAGGGGAGGGGGATCGGGAATGCGGAAATGTGTTGGGGGTTACTGAGGGAGTTCGGCCTCGATGCAACTCCTTCGAATGAAGTTGAGCTCGTAAAAGTTCATTTTCGGCCAATGCGCGGTTCAACTTTCCCTCGAGATCCTCTACCTTTGAACTGAGTATGTCAATCCGGGACTCGAGTGGTGCTATTCGTCTCGATATGGAGTCTTTTGGGATAAGCCCCCGTACTGCTTTGATTTCGTCCCAGAATTTGGTGCGAACCATCGCGACCTCTTTCGTTGCAAACGTACGTGCATCGTTGACATCTTTGGGGGTGGCAAGGGTCTTGGCAAATTGGCGGTCGAGCTCCACTTTGTCCTTCAGAGTTGTAATGTCCCCGCGCACCTTTTTTACCAATTTCTCCAGCATCACTACGTGCTCATCCGTGCCTTTTTCGTTATCCGGAGCCTCTTCCAGTGCAGATATACGAGACTTCAAGTCTCGCAGGATACCCGCACCCGCCGAAACAGGGAGACTTGACTGCGAGGGGTTGTCATTGAGAACGTCTTCGTTGCCCACGACATCCGCTACCTCCAGGTTATCAACTCGTGTTGCTAGCTCCGCAACATCATCAGCAACGCGAGCTCCTTGATCTGTCAGTCTTTTCTCGAGTTCGAGGTGAAGACCGCCTAGGACACGAAAATTCGCATCTACCACCTTACCCACATCGACAATCCGGTTCTTCTTTTCCGAAGTATTCAGCTTGAGAATAGTAAAGACGTCGTTTCCAGTGGTCAAGGTAGAGGTGGAAGGCTTGGTCGATGAAGGAGATGATCCCGTCGTTAGAGTGTCCAGCTTTTTAGTGCTCGTTCCCTTTTTTAGTGCCCCTTTGCCTTTTTCGTTCGTTGGGCCTGGCACCTGCAATTCGTTCAGCAACACATGGGCAGCTGCTGGCGGCGTTCGTTCTCCAATGGACCATTGCGATTGCGATTGCGATTGTGATTGTGGGTTGGGAGTCGTTGGGGAATTATTATCGGCAGGAGTGTGTTCTGTGTCGGGGTTGAATTCATTTTCGGGAACAGGAGATGCACGGGTCATATTATGCGAGGGAGTAATAGTAAGATTATAATGGTGAGTATGGATGGAAGAGGAGTAAGGAGGAGGTGAGCGAGAAACCTTGTCGTTGTTGTTTGAAGACAGCCTTGAAACCGGCGTCTGCGTCATTTCCGTGCCGGGTCAATTCCTTGCCGTTCCTCATGAAGAATTCTTCGAGCTCTTGGTTCTTGTTTCTAGAGTGGTTCACTAGGTTGAACAAACAGAACCTCCAGCAGGGTAACTGCCTTTGAATAGACCACTGCACTCAAACTTCCTAAATTGGGTGAACAACCTTTCCGCGTCGTACGTTCCCTTTTCCGCAGTTCCTTGTAATCTTATGCACTCCGAATCTATCCTTGTCGAAACTTTTTCGAGCCGTTGTGAATTCTTTGGTGATATTCTGACTGTTCTATTGAGCTACTCTAACCCCCCACCGAGGTTTGCTTTGACGATTTTAGTCGTGCGAAAAGTGGAGATGATGGTGGTTGGTTGTCGTTTATGTCATGTTACAGATGAAGCACTAGTAGTAGCCAAATTTATCGGAACAAAGCAAGAGTGGAACTGACGCAACAAGCAAATACCTAAGACTGATATTATGATCAGCTTTGAGAAGCTGTGATATTGTGTCTTTGTTTGTGATATTGCGTCGGTGGTACTCTAGTAAAGCTGCATGAACCCTTGTATCCCCAATACGTGCTTTGAAAAACATTTTCTCAGTAGGGTTCGATGTCTATACAAGAACCTAAACTCACGACTATTTTCATACTGATTTTTTCCCGCCCAATTATTACTGCTCGAGACATGATGTGATCCCGAAGCAACAGGTCCAGTGTCGGATTCCAAGCCTGGGTCTGAATCATCTTGATGTCCACCAAGGAGCTGTGAAGCAATTTCAGATTCAGAGTCAGTCATGTCGACTGAGCAAATGGAGGAAAAGGATTGAGCTTGTACAGCTCATGCTCAGCTACTTTAGTCGTAGTTCAACCTCATGTGCGGCTCATGTCGTCAGTATCTATATAGGATCCTCAAGCTTGACTAATGACAAGTAAGTAGCTTATTCTTACTCTACAGTATGGGGTACAGGATGTTTTACAACGAAAGTTCCTACAATCCAGGAAGAATGATATGTGACATCCAAGTCAAGTATATTGGGGAATGAAGCAAGCAGGTTGAAAAGCAATTGGCCAATGTTGTTCAAACAATTATGTAGTGATGATCGATGACGGGCCAGACAACGACTAACAACAACCGCCACTGGTAGCCTGACAGCTTCTTCGAAGCTCGAAATTTAGAAGTTCCGTGTCTTGAGTGAAATTCCAACCTGAGCCTGCTCGGCAACCGTAGGTGAGAAAAATCGACGGTTGATGAAGCGATGACCTAATACGGAAAGTGCGGGCGGGAACGCAGCCTTAAGTTTATGTAAAGCTTTACACTGTACACCAATAAAGTTCTCGTCAGACATAAACGATTCCTCGCAAGCAGCGGACGACCCGCCCATTGCAGAATTCTTTGACTCACGTGCCTCTGCAAATCTCGCTGTCTTTGCTCACTTTCGTGGACCGATAGGATAGGACGCGAAGACTAGGATTCGAACTGGAACTAGACCCATAGTGATTTATACGTGCTCAGAATTCATCAGCACTCGCACTCAGTAGGCCAACAAGTCCATTCCAATATCGTTTTACGAATACGAATTACCCACCGACAACACAGTATTTCGACATGGACCATTTATCTTCTACATTAACAACTCTCAAAGACCAAGCTAAAGATGCTCTCTGGGCTCTTTCAGCCGGCTGGTCAAGCTGTGTAATGTGCCAGCAGGAAGCGAAGGTAAAGATTAACGGAAGGACTTGTGAGTTGTCACGAATAACATCCTTAAACGTTATTGACTTCTTTCCTTACTCGTCCTTTCTTCTATCTCATAACATACTCGCTGCAATCGTCGTCCTGGGGTGTTTAACTTAAATGGAATTCACTGAATGAACGAAATCAAAACAAAGTCAAAATAATCAAAGTCCTCGGCGAGGGAGGTTTCTCGTTTGTCTATCTCGCACAAGATGAAGGGAGTGGTGTGAGTTTCATTGTCATGTCCTATAGTATGCTACCTTCCGTATCCAAAGTCCAATCTTCCAGCAATCTCTCAGGAAACCACTGTGATACAAATATGATACTCACGCCATTTCCTACTTTAGCGTCAATTCGCCCTCAAAAAAATCCGCTGTCCAACCGGCAACGATGGCGTCAAAGAGGCCATGCGGGAGGTCGAAGCATACAGACGGTTCCGGCACCCGAATATCATACGTATATTAGACTCGGCGGTGGTCCAGGACGAAGATGGAGAAGGGAAAGTTGTATATTTATTTTTGCCACTGTATCAGGTGAGTATCGACATTCAGTCTACCGGTCGCTGTGGTCAAATCACTGAAACAACGTTGTTCGAGTAGCGAGGCAACATCCAAGACCTCATCAACGCCCACCTTATCAACCACTCTCACTTTTCCGAACGAGAGATGATCAAGTTGTTCAAAGGGACGTGTGAAGCCGTTCGTGCGATGCATGAATGGAGACCTGCCAAAGGGGCGAAGAAGGGCAATACTACTAATGAAGCCAGGTCGAATGCTCATCAGAACGGGTCAAGCTCCAACCAAGGACAAGGAAGATCCAATGGAAACGCGCCGCAGGTCCAGTCGAATAACTCAAAGTCAAGAGCACAAACCAATGCGGGCGGTGACGATGAAGATGATGATCATAGATTCCCCGAACCAGAAGGTGATGCTGAAGGAGGATACTCTTATGGTCCCTCATCAAGGGGTACCGGTAAGCCATCAAGAAGTGGCTCGGGGTCGGTACCGTTGATTGACCGTGATCGGGGTGAGGAGGAAGGGTTGATGGGAAGCCAAGCAGATGATAGAGGCGGAGAAGCGTTGTTCGATGGGGATGAGGATGTTGCCGGCATAGATGGCGAAGGCGGAGCCGGTGAGCGGGGGGAGATCGTTCCGTATGCTCATAGGGATATCAAACCTGGGTGAGCACCTTTTGTTCCTCTCCATTTCTTGATTAGTTTCGTACTTGTCTCCTTAATCTCCCGTACCTCTCTTCTTTACCTCTTATATCTCCAATAGCCCTCTATCCTTATTCTAATCCTCTTTCACTTTTTGCAGGAACGTCATGATATCTGATGAAGGCCGACCTATCCTCATGGACTTTGGATCTGCAATGCGAGCACGGATAAAGATAGAAAATCGTTCGATGGCGCTATATCAGCAGGTCAGCCTCTTTGTTCTCTTCAATTTTTTGTATGCGGTTTACTTACGCTGCAGCCTTTGCTCTTCGTCAATACCAGGACATCGCCGCTGAACAATCGACAATGGCGTACCGTGCTCCGGAACTCTTCGACGTCAAAACGGGGACGATGTTAGATGAGAAGGTTGATATCTGGGTAAGCACCTATCGTCATTGTAACCACTCGTTCTCATAACTCATTTTTTACAGTCTCTCGGTTGTCTCCTCTTTGCCATGGCCTACTCCCACTCTCCCTTCGAGAACACACAAACGACAGAACAAGGCGGGTCCATCGCCATGGCTGTCCTCAATGCACAATATAAGCACCCGAGAGGGAGCGAAGGGAGGTATTCAAATGGGTTGAAAGAGATGATTGATAGTATGCTCAAGGTGGATCCGGATGAGAGACCAGGGATTGGGGAGGTATTAGGGATGTGTGAGAGTGTCGAGAGAAGATTGAGGTAGTGGAGGAGTGGAGATAATGATGGGGGCAATAGAGGTGTGTATAGCGGTGGGATCGATTCTACGTAGGTTAATTCTAGTGTTCGAGATGTGTTGTGGGGACTATGCGTTCTTTGCTTATAACAGATTCTAATTGACATAAACTGTATCTATCATGACTTAGGAATTAATATTGCCTGCCTGCCTAGCTCAATCGGATAGAGCGTCAGACTCTTAAAGTGGGTGGCAGTTGGATCTGAAGGCTGCGAGTTCGACCCTCGCGGTGGGCTATGATGAGTGATATTGAGGTGACTTTTTTTTGCGTCACTTTGACATTATTTTATTCTTCGAACTCTGTTTGCTTCTTTGGCCTTCATCTCTCACCACTTTAATCTCGAGAACTCCAGAACTTCAGTAAGAGTACTGTATGGTCTCTCAGGGCTAGCAAGTCAGCCGGATCCAGGCTGGATCTTCACAAACATTTACTCACAAATTGTGTGCTGCGTAGTACAATGCTCAATTTCTCTGACGATGGCCTGACCCAAAAATTTGGTCAGCTGTGAGCCTGAGTGGGCAAGAATGATTTGAGGCTCTTGAGATACTGAAAAGCCAGGTGCTTATTTTACCACAATCAAAACAACACCGGATGGCGATGAAACGAGAAGGTATTCTTTGGAGCAGTGGAGCCTAATGTATACATAGATTCTACATGTCCTCCTTGGCCCCGAGTCACTGTCAACACCCAGCGCCGCTTGCTTAACAGGAATAGGCTCGAATTCGGTTATCTTGACAAATGTATACGCAACCCTCCGTCGAAGACGGGTCTCACAAGGGGACACTGGGTTCAACAAGGTTCAACCGCCTTGAACACAAATCATGTATGTGATTTCTCGAGGTGGCAATCGTAACGATTGGTCGGTCCGTAAAGATAGTCCCCGGTTTACCCGAGTTCATCGGGGTCGACCTTCTGACTGAGCTTGTGTCAACGTAGCACGTAAATCATCATCGCCTTACCTTCAGTGTTCGCTTGGTGGACCCTCAAGCTGAGTTGACGGCAAAATAAGCAACCGTACTCTGTCCTGACTCCTCGCTGGTTGAAGCGAACCCAAAGAAGAACGTGAGCAGCTCGGAAATCGCACTGTTTGTTCCTAATCACAGTAAAGCTGGACCAATCTCGTGTTATGTGATTTTACCATGATTGTCGCTATAATGAGATTCGGAAACAAAGCGGCGTGAGTAGTAAAAGATATACAAAACCCATGATTGCTTCAAAATATCAATGGTGATAAGGATTAAATCCTTGGGGACAGGAGTCAATCCTTCAGGTTTGATTTCCTATTTCCTTAATCTAAGCCTTCGATCCAATTGAGGAAGACCCCTCCTCGCCTGGGGTTGGGTATCTTCAGGACTTCGTCTTTGGAGGTGGATTGTGGATTTCAGGAAACTGGCTCTAACTAGCTTCGTCTGTTTCGGCTTTCCTCCACACATGCATTGAATCAGGTAATCCGGGAAGAGCTTTAATTCATTTCTGGGAATAAATTGTTTTTCGACTCGGGGGAGATTCGAATATCAACTGCGGGAAGGGGACTTCAGTATTAGTGTTACGGGAACGGCGATGTAGATTTTTTTCTAAAGTCATGCACCAAGTTTACACACTGGTTTACACCTTGTAAGTGATCAACAGATGCACGCCTTAACTTGTAGCTATGTACGACATCATCGCTGTTCGGAAAGTCCTGAGAAACAGACAGACGGATCATGTACTGCCCTTAGTTGTAAGATGGGGGTGATTGGAGCATGTATAAAGGTTGACGAACTTTCAAGCAAGTTCTCCAGCTTCTGGCAAGTCTCCCTCAGCACTTCTACAACACACAACTCCCTTTGCCGGTCAAAGGAATTTGTCTTCGTCGTCACCCGATAACCACACCGTCTCTATCTTGCTCCCAGTTCGAGTCCATCGCGAGCTCGTCTACTTCCACTACTTACAACTTTTTTGACTTAACCCGCCTGTCGCCATGCGTTTCAATCTTGCTTACTTTGCTCTTGGGCTCTTCGCTGCTGTATCTGCAGTCCCCGTTGCTGTGAGTATTAGTTGATGGTGTATTGCTAGCACAGGTTGACAGAAATTTCAGGTGCAGAACAACAACAACGGCGCCGTTGAAGCTCGCGCCCCGTCCTCAGATCATGAGTTCGACCTCCGCGAACTTGGTGGTGCCATAGGGGTTAACGTTTACCACGCTCGTGGTACCCAGATCTTCGATTCTCGTGGTGAAGAGATTGATGCTCGAGAGACCTTCGGCTTTACCTCTGCTGATCTCGAGTCGCGCGAAGCCTTTGCCGCTGCTCTCTCCTCTATCTCCAGCAGGGCTCCCAACAAAGTAACCATCAAGGTCACTTTCACCAATGATCTTAGCTCAGACTCTAACAACCCCGATCGCGCCAAAGCTCAGTCCGATGCCAAGTCAGCTGTTCAATCATTGCTTAACGCGGCTGCGAAGGAGTTGTCTTTGGAAGGGAAGACTTTGGATGTCATCTTTTTGAACGACTACCATTCCAGTCGTGGGGAGACCACGGAACATGTCACGTTCACGTTTGACGAACCTGTCTGTGCGGGAACTTGTACGGGACATGCGTTCGGATCTGGAAAAGGAGAAATTTTCAAGCACGATCACTCCAAAATTTTCAGCAAGAAGGTACGTCTCTCTTTATCTTATTGTCTTGACACTGTTAGCCTGATGTCTGCCTTGATTTTTGCTCCTGCAGTAAAAATCTCAGTAGGGTGGTAGCGCTTCAGCTGCTTGGTAGTTTCTGAGAGTAAAGTAGAAGTATAGTGGGGATAATGAATGAAACCAGGATTTGTGCTACCAATAACCTTTGGGTGAATTTAGATATCTGAACAGCGCTTTTACCAACTTGGGACAGCAAGCAAGCGATGGAGTGGTAGGATTGAACTACTAGCTCGTTTCTGCGTTGCGTAAATGCGAATTACTTAAAGCCTTGTTTGTATACTGGAGAGAAGCATAGTTAGGAAGGCCCGAGTATTCTTGAAAGTGTCACTGCCCCAAGTCGTGCCAAAAAGAGAAACGAAGCTGGCTCGGCTTACAGTTAGATTATGATACAGCAGGATACAGCCTAGGTGCACACGGTGTACACCGCCATGATTTCCTATCTGGAAATTTAGCATTTTGCTAGACACATGTATATGTCCATCGTAGACTCTGAAAAGTTGTTCGATACCGACTAGAGGCTGTGAGGAGCACAATTAATATCAGGCGCGCATCCGATCAAGTAAACAAACAAAATCACTGCCAAAATCAAAATCTATCGTCGTGATTCGTTAACGGAAACTGTAAACTGTCAACCATCAGTAAAATGCGTACTTGAAACGATTGTTCTTCCCGACCTTGTAAAATCTATATGGCTGTGTCAAGTATTGTGTGTGGTAGGCTACAGATAGGTTATGTATGTAGTACAGGGCTCGTTGTAAAATCCCGAGTGCGAAAGTGAGCGAAGTCCGGAGTTCCTCATCAGAGTTCATCAAGAAGAGACTACGTAGACTTCGATGAAGAAACTGAGACGAAAGATAAGAATCTCAAGCAATTGTCGTACATCTCAGATGGTCCCGCCTGGTCCCGAGGTGTTGTGTGCAGAGTCAACCAGGAGTCAACCACCAGGGTCGACGACGTAGCTGACTTTGGCCTATCCTCCCAACAGCCCAAGGGCATACTACCAACGTCCCTCAATCCTATGTCTGTCGTCATTGCAATCAGTTGCCAGATGAGAGATCAGCAGCTGAAAAATTCTTTGGCGGTTTGTAAAAAAAGACGCACATGTTGAATTTCTCTGGAATTGCAGAGATGCTGAGGGTACGAGTAGATCTTCTATGTCAATTATATCAGTAGTGTATTGAGCAGGCCCGGCATGAGCAACGCGTTCTTCCACCCATTGAATCAAGGCAAGCCCTCCTACTCCACAACATGTAAACAAAGAATGAATGGACTCACTGCGGTTTGTACATTTGGTCCGCGAGCTCTAGACGTGTCAATGAGGGTATAAAAAGTGACAGAACTTCGAAGGATGGTTCCTCAGCTTCTGGCAAGTCTCTCTTAGCACCTACACCACTCCCTTTGCCGGCCAAAGGAATTATCAGTGTCTCTTTGTCTTCACTCGACCGACAACCAAAAAAAAAAACTCTAATCTTGCTCTCCCCTCGCTCGAGTTCCATCGCGAGGCCTACTTCTACTCACTAAATTTAAACCTCGACCTAACCCGTCGTTCGCCATGCGTTTCAATATTGCTTGCTTATTCCTTGGGCTTTTCACCGCCGCTTCCGCAATACCAGTTGCTGTACGTGTTTTCGAAAAAAAAGTATGCGATGACGATAATCACTCACCGTGTTCTGGTTTTCTAGGTACAAAGCGACAATAACGGTGCTGCCGTCGAAGCTCGCGCTCCTTCATCTACTGATAGTGGTTATGACCTCCGTGAGCTTGGAGGAGCCGTAGGCGTCAACGTCTACCACGCCCGGGGCACCCAAATCTTCAATTCCCGCGGCGAAGAGATCGACGCTCGCGAGACTTTCGGCTTAACGACTGCCGACCTAGAATCCCGCGAAGCCTTCGTCGCTGCCCTCTCCGACCTCTCCCGGCGGGCGAAAAACAAGGTAACGATCCAGGTCACCTTCACCGGTGATCTCTCCTCCGAGTCCAACAACCCCACCCGCGCCAAAACGCAGTCGGCTGCCAAAGCGGCTGTGCAAAGTCTGCTCAACGCTGCCGCGAAGAGCTTGGATCTGGAGGGGAAGACGATCGATGTTGTTTTCCTGAATGACTTCCATGAAAGTCGGGGAGAAACCATTAGTCACGTTACGTTTGAGTTTGAGGAGACGGTTTGTGAAGGGACATGTACGGGACATGCCTTTGGAGGATCTAAAGGGGAGATTTTCAATCACAATCACGAGAAGATTTACAGCAGGCGTAGTAGCAAGGGCAAGGGCAAGGTATGTGCTTAGTTTTATTTCTACTTTTATCAAGTCTGATCCATCTTTTGCTCCATTCTTGCAGAAGTAAATGTCGACTTCGTCGCATTGCCCTGCCATCTGGTACTTATCCACCTGAGTAGATAGTAGTTCTTTGAGCATAGATAGAGTTGTCGAATGAAACAGGAATTCTGTGCTTGATTAATCCGTTTCCTTCAACCTGCGTTATTGAATCTTTGCCTTGACGATTCAAGTGCCTTTATTTGCCTACTTGGCAGATTGAAAGTCAAGGTAAGGAGACGCGACAAACTA